AAATTTTTAGGCTGTAGGCTGCTGCTTAGAGTGAAAGTGCTAGTGATACTGGCACAATTTTTTACTTAAACTATTTTTTAGGAAATGAGTAACCATGAATTTGTAAAGGCATGTACTAACATTTTATACTTTAGAATACTAATCTTTTTAAATCAACAAATTATCTGTAACTTTCCTTCATTCCTACTAAATATAATAAAAATATTATGAAAAAAACCTCATCCCCTCTGGTTACCATCAGTTTGTTCTTTATTTCCAAGTCTCTGGTTCTATTTTGTTCATTTGTTTGTTTTGTTGAATAGGTTCCACTTATAGATACAATCATATGGTATTTGTCTTTTACCACATAGCTTATTTCACTTAGCATAATGCTCTCCAGTTCCATCCATGCTGTTGTGAAGGGTAGGAGCTCCTTCTTTCTTTCTCCTGTGTAGTATTCCATTGTGTAAATGTATCACAGTTTTTTGATCCATGCGTTTACTGATGGGCATTTAGGCTGTTTCAGCACTTTGCTATCATAAATTAGGCTGCTATGAACATTTGGGTGCATAGCTTCTTTTGAATTAGCGATTCGGGATTCTTAGAGTATAATCCCACCAGTGGGATTGCTGGATCAAAAGGCAGTTTCATTTTTGGTTTTCTGAGGAAATTCCATACTGTTTTCCACAGTGGCTGTACCAGTCTGCATTCCCACCAATAGTGTACTAGGGTTCCCTTTTCTCCACATCCTTGGGAGTACCTATTGTTTGTTAATTTATTAGTGATGGCCATTCTGACTGGTGTGTAAGGGTCTCATTGTGGTTTTAATTTGTATCCCTGTAATGGCTAGTGATGTCGAGCATTTTTTCATGTGCCTGTGGGCCCTCTGCATGTCCTCCTTGGAGAAGTATCTGTGTAGGTCCTTTGCCCGTTTTTAATTGGATTGTTTGTCTTCCTGGAGTGGAGTTGTGTGAATTTTTTATATATTTTGGAGATCAAACGCTTATCTGAGGTATTATTGGCAAATATGTTTTCCCATATGGTTGGTTCTCTTTCCATTTTGTTGATGTTTTCTTTAGCTGTGCAGAAGGCTTTTAGTTTGATGTAGTATCATTTGTTTATTTTTTCCTTCTCTTGCCCTAAGGGATGTATTGATAAAAATATTGCTAAATAGGATATCTGACATTTTCCTGCCTATGTTTTCCACTAGGACTTTTATGATGTCACAACTTATAACCAAGTCTTTTATCTATCTTGAGTTTATTGTTGTATATGGTGTTAGTTGGTGATCTAGTTTCATTTTTTGCATGTTCTTGTCCCAATCCCCCAACACTATTTATTGAAGAGGCTATTTTTACTCCATTTTATGTTCCTGTCCCCTTTGTCAAATATTAAGTGACCATATTGACATGGGTTCATTTCTGGGCTCTCTATTCTGTTCCATTGATCTACATGTCTGTTCTAATGCTAGTACCAGGCTGTTTTGATTATAGTGGCTTTGTAATATATTTTGATATCAGATATTGTGATCCCTCCTACTTTGTTCTTCTTTCTCAAAACTGCTGAGGCTTTTCAGGGTCATTTATGGTTCTATATACCTTTTTTGAAATATTTGTTCTCTATCTGTGAAATATGTAATTGGTATTTTGATAAGAATTGCATTGAATCTATTGATTGTTTTAGGTAGCATGGACATTTTAATGCTGTTAATTCTTCCAGTGCATGAACATGGTATATGTTTCCATTTATTTGTGTCTTCCTTAATTTATTTCTTCAATGTTGTTTTGTTTTCTGTGTATAGCTCTTTTACCTCCTTGGTTAGTTTTTTCCTAAGTATTTAATTTTTCTTGTTGCTATGGTATATTGGATTTTTTTCCTAATTTCTGTTTCTGGTATTTCATTATTGGTGTATAAAAATGCCTTTGATTTCTGAATGTTGACTTTGTATTCCACCAATTTGCCAAAATCATTTATTAGGTTGAGTAGTTTTTTGGTAGAGTCCATAGGGTTTTCTATGTACAGTATCATGCCATCTGCAAACAGTGACAGCTTTACTTCTGCCTTTCCAGTTCAGATGCCTTTTATTTCTCTTTCTTGTCTGATCACGGTGATTAAAACTTCTAATACTATGTTCAATAAAAGTTGTCAAAGTGGACACCCTTGTCTTCTGTAAAGCACATTAGTGAGAGAGATCATTGTTAGAGAGTAAAATAAAAAGACTAGTTAAATATTTTCATGTAGTTATTTGAAACCTCAATTTCTAAAAGAAATAATAGATCAACATTGAGACTAATAGTTCTGGTTATTGCATCTAATTGACATTTTATGGAAATATTTGTCTACTCATACTTGTCATTAAAAATTAGGAAGAAATGGCATAATAATATAAAAATTTAGTATTAGTGAAATAGAATGTAACTTTTAAAATAAATTTTTCCCAAAATGCTCGTTTTCTTTTTTTAAAGATTTTTTTATTTATTTATTTTTAGAGAGGGAAGGGAGGGAGAAAGAGAGAGAGAGAGAGAGAGAGAAACATCAATGTGTGGTTGCTGGGGGTCATGGCCTGCAACCCAGGCATGTGCCCTGACTGGGAATTGAACCTGTGACACTTTGGTTCGCAGCCGGAGCTCAATCCACTGAGTTACGCCAGCCAGGGCTCAAAATGCTCTTTTTCCTACCACCATTATCTGTGACCATGAACTGGCTAATGCTAGAGTGGCCATCTGATGTGCAATGACAGAAAGATAAAAGAAGACAGAGAGAAATCTTAGGTTGATATTTTTCAAAGATCAAACACTCAAATGAATACTAAGTATTTTTAATGGAAAGGAATTGTTTTTCATTTATATATGTAGTCCATATGCATCTCTTCTGGGGGGAAATTTTTAACTGAACTTCCTTAATGTGGATATTTATAATATTACTATCTGTTCCTCATTTTTAATATTTAGATTAGCAAAGCATTTATAATATCATTGTATGATTAAATTATTTAATGACATCAGTTTCAATTTAGATTGCTATGCAAACATCCATTCCAATCAACAATTAGATACTATTAAAGAAATTTAGAGTTTTTTTCAAAATAAATTAATGTTTAGTCTTCACCATTAATTAATTCTTTGAAAATATAGTAAAATTTCTCTGCTTATTAGACACTTAACATAACATATAATAATCTTCTATAAGGCCAAATATCCTAATTTGCACATTATCCCAGAGTAATATAAAATTGTCTATAGCACTAAAATAACTACTATCATCAATGATTGTAAAGGTGAAGTTTTAGATATGATAATACATTTCCAAAGTAAAATTAAATGTTTTAATATGTTTGAAGTCTATGTTGCTTTTAAAAAATTCAAGTTCATATGTGGACTGAGAAAAAAAACATGTTGTTCTCTTGTGTTTCATAACAATTTTGTTTAATTTAAAATTAACAGAAAAGTTAGGAAAATATGACTTAAGGGTGTGTTTCTTATACATTGCTACATGAGCTAATGGAGACTCTCCATGCATCCTTTATTTCTCTGACTAATTCCCTGTCAGCTTTCTCTTTCTACAGTTCTCCCATACCTTGAACAACTCCAACTCACGTTTAGGCAAGTTCACCACAAATCTTTTTAAATAAATAAAATAATGTCAGTAAGTTGGAACTTTTACTACTAAGCTGTACATTGGTTTTGGGAAAAGTCATTAAGATGTTACTACTGGTTTGACCCTTGAATTCCACCAGGAATTCAAGTGGAAGCTGCCCATTTTCTTTCCTATGCCTAGAATGTATACTTGCTTGCCTTCCCCCAGTTAGAAGCTGCCCAAGGACACAGCTGTGAGATAATAACATGCTGATGAGACTATCTGCACTAGGTACATGATTAAAGTCTATGAAATATGTTTTTACATGACCAAACCTAGTTAAGGTCTATATATAAACTTAATATTCTAGCAGGCTGGTGGAGAAATCTACTTGTTCTGTGGCCATCAAGACCAGCCTATTAAATAAGTCCTCTTGCTTATTAAACCTGTCACCTACTAATCTGGAGTGGCCTGCCTTCTTCAGCCTCCCAGTTTCCTCCAGTTACAGAGGGCCAGTTTCGTATTTCACCCAGGAAGCTCGCTGCCTGGTTTGTGAAGCAACAACTGATCAGTATTTCATGAAGATCTTCAAGGTAAATGTAGAAACAGGTTCTATTTCTAACATTCATATGGTAATACATTTTACAGTTTCAGAGGTTCACAAATATGTTAATTTTGACAAAAAGATAGACAATTCTGAATATGATATTATATGCCCCTAGAATATACTGAGATTAGTTAGAAATTAAACATATTACATTGAACTTAGCATATTTACTTATGTTTTGAGGGATATACTTGACGCATGGCATATCTGAATCCACATCACTCAAAGACTAGTACAATGGGGAGACAGGAGATACCATAAGATGCAAGAGCAAGAACCCGGTGCTTGATTTATACCAGAATTCTAATGTTGCCTCTGTTGGAAATTGCAATCACTTTGAAGAGTTTCTTTACTCTTCATTTTATTTATTTATAAGATGAGGGTAATGGACAAGAGTTTATCTCTAAGTTTCTCCTAGCCATAAAATTGGTTTAGGATTTTACTATATTTAAACTTAAAGTATGGCAAGGTATCACAGAAATTTTATGTATTACTTTTTATCTTGAATCTTTGGTTTCCATGGTTATTCCTAATAAGATTCGCACTGGGATTATGAAATGTCAATTTCCCACCACAGACTGATAAAATCAGAATAACATGGATTTTTAAAGCTTTTTAAATATTTCTGACATAGTTGCTGTTTCCTTTGTTGTGTCATAGTATAGTTTAGAATTTTATCATTGGAAACAAGTCCTTTTTTTTTCTTTGCTCAAAAACATCTGAGGGCTTATGAAAGTTATAGCTGGAGAGCATTAAAAAGAAATGATATAGTATTCTGCTGTAACTGAATATTCAATAGACAGATCAATGTGTTTTCACATTTCATGTATCACATTACCTTTTTCCTTTAGGGAAGCTGGCAACTTCACTTCTTTCTCTTTACCAGGCTCTGGAAAGAAACATTGAGCATTTATTTTCAGCCAAGATAAAAAACGTTGAGAACACATATGCAAGGGAATCAGTGATCTATCAGTAAAGTGAACATGTGGAAATGATGTTTTCTCTCAAAAATAATTTTAATCATACGGAGACAAAGATACAACGATATGGAGAAGAATAAGCCATTCTCTGATTATTTTAATTTAACATAAATGTAAGCTGTTTAAAGAGTTATAATCTATTTGTTCATCTAAGAGGATAGGCACGTGGATGGATAAGAACTTATTTTATCTGTAATTTTTAAAAACACATGGCCAGTGGGAAGGGGGAATGAGAGCAGAGAGGAGGTGGGCAAAACGGGGAGAATGGGGTCATCTGTAACAATGTCAACAATAAAAATAAAGTTAAAAAATCTCCATGGCTTCAGCATCCAAAATTTCCCTCAACTGTTATAATCAGCACTAACTTATTTTTATCAGGCTATGTTTTTTCAAATAAATAAACAACCAAATGGAAAACCCTCCATATATTCTGTAAATGTGGTTTTTAGTCACCAGATTTCAGTCAAATAAACCTCAAGAATAAGACTGAAATAAAATATGAGAGATAATTTCTTCAATGAACTACCAACATCTTTAAAATGTGGTCCTTGATTAAAGTAAATCAGGTAAAACTTTATTTATTCTACCAGGTTTAAATACAAAATGATTCTGATCATATAATGGGTTTGAGACATGTATGCAGGCAATATCTTGAAAAACATTATATGTTCTCAACAAACTATATAAAAACAAAAACCCATTTCCCGCCTCCTCTGCAACAGTAAATCTCACTAGCCATTTTGCTGACAAAAGTGACTTTTAATACAGTGGGAAAGGAAGAAAGAAAGAAATTTACACTTTCATCTCTTTTTTCCCATTCCCACATTATAATTTTGGGTGAGAATTCAGAGAATATGATTTGAGTACTTCTATGGATATAACATTCAAACAATCACTTAAAATTAATGGAGTCCAGGTGGCTTTGGAGAGTCTCAAGAATGAATATAGGGGTTCTACTGAAAAAGTTATGTCCCTCAAAGCAAGATTTTCTAGGTAGATAAGATATACCCTTAAATATCCATATGCTTGTAGAATTTTAAAAAATGGTTTTGGTGGAAAAGAAATGTTTGTGTTTCTATTTATGGTGCAAATTACAAATAAAGCTAATTTCTTTTTCTATAATTCAGCATGAAAAGATGAAATCCAGAGCCATGGGTTGAATAAACACATCCTGAAAAGCTTCATTAACTTTTTTTTCTAAGCCAAATGGGGGTCATTTACTGCTTTTGCTTTTCCTAGCTCAGCCAAAAGAATTAATGTGTTGGGAAATGAGAAGTGGTGGTGGGGGCAGATTCCCAGCACGGTGGGAGAGCCCAGTCCCTGGAGTTTCAGGGCTCAATATGAAGCATGTTTATTTAAATGGGTGAGTGTATGTATATATTGGTGTGAGAGGAACAGGGTCATAAAATATAAAGCCTAGCAAGAGGAACCCAGGAGAGGGATTTGATTTTCTGGGGAAAGAAGGAAGGGGGGCAAAATAATAACTATACTCTTACAGGGTATTTGAAGGTCATACCCATCACCTTCAATTTGGAAAAAGGTCTCAGGAAATAGAAGTGATTTTCATTTCCAGGCTTGCTAATGGGAAAATGGCTTCTGTATCCAGGCTGGGTACTCTGCATCGCCTCTCCCGTAGCTCAGGTTTTTCTCAGTCTCCTTTTTGACTTCCAGGGATTTGGACAATGCAGGATGTCCGCAGACTGATCTATCAGTATCTAATTACCCACGCAAGTGAGTGGGATAGCAAATCTGACAAAAACTGTGAAGAGAAAGTTACATGGAAATTCTGGACTTCTGTATCTGAAAGTCCTGATACTTAAATTATTGGTTTGGATCTATTTAAATCATTTTTTTCAACTTATCTCTCTTGTTTTTTTAGGAGATGAATTTTAGAAATACATTTTTTGTGTGTATTGTTTTTACAAATACAATAGTTTCTTTGCATTTGTCTAGAAGGCTACAGGAAAGCTTATGAATCTTGATTATGATTAGAGTCTCAAACACATTTAATGTACTGTGATATAAATTGGAACCCTCAAATAATCTGGGCAAGGAGGTTGGGATGGAGAAAATGTTCACAAAGAAATAAAAAGATTTCAGGTTTTACTTTTCCCTATGCTGCCCCAGAGACACAGGCAGTAATGACCTGGGGTGAGTGTCCATGAGGAAACATAGATCCCTGGGGACCAGTTTCAAAGTCTTCAGATAGCTCCCCATCCTTAGCTCTTGCTTTTGTTTGATTAGTAGGAATGGTCAAGACAAAACATTATGAAGACCAAAGAAGTTGGGGGATTATTAGGTCCATGGTCCTGAGCAATAGAATATTAAAGAAGACAGGCATTACTGAGCACCCACTTATTATTAGAGCCAAACACACATAGATAGGCATGTGCCCCCAAATTGACAATAATTCCAGTGTCTCTCAGACTAATCTATTACTAGAGGAAACTAAGTGTGTTGTTACTATTGCATTTTTAGTGGAGGAGAAATTAATTAATCTCTTTGTTGCTTTGTTTGAGTTCGGTTTGCAGTTCCTTGGTCCATGGATGAATCTTGCATCCTCAGATAAGTCAGACCAGCTGTAAGAAGCAAGTAGTGATACAGTGTAGAGGTGGATGTCAGAAGGGACAAAACCAATAATGGGGGTGACTGGCAGGGTTGTCTGGTTTCTGGGTGGCCATGGCCACATAAACAAACGAAACTCTGCCCTTGTGAGTGTGTTGAGAGGACTTATGCTAGTCCCCTTGCCCAGGAAAGTCAGCAGCTGAAACACCAGCAAAAGCCAGAAAGACATGTCTTTCTTTTGCCTTTTTTCCTTTTAAACAATCATCCCTAGATCATCTTTGCACCACTTTAAATAAAAACACAAACCTAATGATATTTTTTAAATGCCTAATTTATTCATGGTGATCGTGTCCCAGGTAAATGTTGTCCCAAATGATTTTTGTGTGATTATCCTGGTTTTACAATTGGATCATTCCTTCAATATGGGTGCTCATGTGTACACAAAGTGGAATCTATGAGAAACTGGCACATGTAGGCAGCCACTTAACTTGCATAATATAAATAACTTGCAATACACAATGACTCCAGTGCAGTAAGTGGCGTTTTAGAGAGTGGAATTGCTACATTCAAATTCTGCCTCAGCTCAGCAGCAGCAGGAGGCTTCAAAGAAATGAATCAGAAGCAAAAACACTGTGGAGGTTTTCAAAGTCCCTAAGATCTTATAGGTAATCCTGCTAATTTTAAAGCTTTCTTGTAATGATAAATAATATTCATAAAATAAAGAAAACATGGCAATTAAATTAGTCTAAAATAGCATCTAATTTATGTACAACAAAGATATTCTAGGGTATTAACGCAGCTTGAGTAAAAAAGAGGTACACTTTAAATAGCTCTAAATCAATAATAATATGCAGTAAACCTTTATATACATGATTTTTCTAGGTGACTGTGAGGACACCTTGCAAATAATAGAGGATTAAACATTGACAAAAAATGTGTTCACTAGGAAATTACTTACAATTGTGCATTCATAACTGTTACGACAACAATAATAGAAATTACAGGAACCTACTTAGTGGCATGGTCAGTATGGATTTAAATCCCCCAAATAATGTTTTCCAAGGCAGAGTTTTACAACTACAATTTCCAGCTAATTTAGGCTTTGGCACAAGTAGAGTCTTTAAGTAGCAGTTTAGATTTTTGATAATCATTATTGCTTGCAAGGTAGTTTTGGATTTAGGCCCCAAACTTTATCCTTTTTTTTTTTGGAGATGCTTTTATATCGAACAATAACATGTGGTCCAAATATTCCTGTAACATAAGTGCAGACCAAAGTAAATGTATTTTTATACTACATTTTGAAAGAGAGAAAGTTTATACTTTGCTAATTGTGATTTATAAATCATAAATGCATATATACACACATATATGTATATGAACTTTTCTGGTAGTATGTTTCAGTGACACTTACAGTTCTCACACAATCAAGGAAAATGTTTTTTGTTAATTGTGAGATAAATGAGAGTGAAGGATGAGAAGGAGTCTCTTCCAAAGTACAGGTAACCACTGTAGAAAAATAAACTAAACTCCTCTGTGGTAAATAAAGAGTCACTCCAATAGCTGAGGACTATTTTTTATACTACATAGCCAATATATCTATACCAAAGAGATTTTCAAACTTACATAATGAGTGCTACACTCAAAGCAGAGGCTCTTTGAAGAAGACAAATACAAGAACGCTATTTTAAGAAGCAAGCAGTATCTGTGTGAAAATTCAAAGATGGACTATAAAACCTGACAGACTTGACTTTCATTCTTGCCTTTGTCTCTAACTTCATGGTGTAACATTGGGTAACTTGACCTGCACCCCTACTCCCACATTTATAAAAATTGAGGTACACAGCACAACTTGCTGAAGTGAAATGCGTAAAGTCAATTTCACTGTGCCTGGCAAAGAGCAGATGCCCAGTGTCTGCACTTCTCCAAAACAATTTCCATGTCTTTGTTTGACTAACTTCTCATCTTTCTCACTTGAATTTAATATAAATTCCTTCTTCAGTAAAGCCTTCTCTGATTCCACAGACTTAACTAGAACCTTCGATTATACTCTTTTATAGCACCTTGTATACCTCCATGATTCTTATAATTTTAACTAATTATGTCATTGATACTATAAGTATAAGAAAGGCATGGACTATGCTTTTCTCATATTCCCAGTGTCTAGGGAGTATGTGTTTTGATTACTTTATATTAGATTCATAAAAATAATTACTGAATGTGGTACTGGTTAGTCCACATGAAAATTAAGATGAATAACACAGGGTCTTGATGCTTAAGTAGAAGACATTTTAATTAACTAATTAGCTAGATAGCTAGATAAATAGTTAAGATTACACATATTACAAGTGTATGAATTCAGAAGGGAGGGTTTTAGTGAACATTGAGAAAAGTTGATGCTTTATAAGGACATTATTCTTATAATATCCACATAAAGTCAGTCCATTCAGAAGAGAAAAATACCAACGTTAAATAAGAACTTCATGCCTTTTTATAGCCATAAGGCTATATATTGACTTTAATATTGACAATATTAAAGTCAATAGAAGATGACTAAGAAAGTCTTTGAAAATAATAGAATTCACAACTCCAATTTCCTGGTTTTCCTCCCTTTTCCTAGCTTTGTCATCTTTGTTTCTCAATGATTAGCTAGTGCATGGAAGGACTGTGCAATGAAATATAATTTTATGAAAGGACAGTAAAGACAAAACCAGAGAACACGAAGGGCAGTCCTTTCTGTATTTTTTAATTACCTTCTAACATTTTTTTATTCTTTCATTTTTTAAGGAAAATCCTTTTTCTTTGTTTTTTACTTTTTTATTTTTGAAACTATAATCAGAGCACTTTTTAGGTCATGGTGAAATGTAAGAAAGTGTTTGTGGGATGGGTAAATAAATACACATTTTCAAACACATGAGGGTGACCTGTAGAATTTTGGCCCACACATCTGCAAAGATGATGACTAATGTACTATGGGCCTAATCAAATATTTTTCCTAATAATTTTTTGTTTTATGTTGCATTGACTCTATTACCTTTATCCTTCAGAACTGAAGAAGTCTTCCCAGATTTTTCTTTTCTAATTTCTGCAAGAAGAATCATGAAAAGGAAAGGTTACAATGAATAATAGAGATAAAAATGGTAAGTTTCTTGATGTGTCTGTTTATTGAGGCCTAAAAAAATCAAAGGGGTTGTGAGTTAATATTCAAAATATAGATATATACTGGGATAAGTTATCCATAAAACACTGAACTAAATATGCAGAAGATATAAAATAAGCTTATAAATTATTATCAGAAGGGGCAAATTATGATAAACACAAAACAGGCACAAATATTTGGTTGGTTAAAAAGTCCATTTAGTTTTTTTCCCATAAAATAAAAGACACAGTTTTCATTTTCACCAATAACTTTATTGATTTGGATATTTTGAGTATGTTAGCTATCTCCCATGTGGTATAATGTTGATTCTTCTCAGTTAATGCTGTGATTTGATTGCTATCACCTTCAACAGGTCTAACGGACTTTGGAGCATGGCCCAGGGGGAAATCTCCAGCACAAAACTTTGCAAACCACTTCTTTAAAAATTTTATTTTATTGTTATTCTGTTACAGCTGTTCCAGCTTTTCCCCTTTGCCCTCTTCCACCCAGCCCACTCCCAACTCCCATAGCCAATCCCCACACTGTTGTCCATGTCTGTGGGTCATTCATACATGTTCTTTGATTAGTCCCTTCTCCTTCCTTCCACCATTACCCCTCTCCCCCTGCCCCTCTGGCCACTGTCAGTCTGTTCGATGTTTCCAAGCCTCTGGTTCTAGTTTGCTTATTAGTTTATTTTGTTCATTAGATTCCCCTTATAGGTGAGATTATATGGTGTTTGTCTTTCACTGACTGGCTTATTTGCAAACCACTTTTTACATGTTTAATCAATCATAGCACCTTCTCCAAGCACTGCATGAATCCATTTTTTTTTTGAATTTCAGTTGCATTTTTACCTTTCTTGAAATGGTAAAGCATAATATGCTCAAAATGTATATTTTCTTCCTTCTTAAATATTAAAATGGCTACACAAAATTTTATCAATTTTGATAAAATTTTTTTTAAAAATGCATGCTGATATGACAGCTGTCACAATACAATCTAACAAAATAGTTTCAAGTGAAGTTAGAGACAACTAAGTGATACTATTGTAAGTGCATCTTACGATAAAAAACAAATGAACTCTTTGGCCAACCCAATAAAATGCAATGGGCTTTGGGGAGAGAAGGTAGGGTAACAATAATGCGTAATATTGTCTATTTACTATGTGTCACAGGAAATGTCTTCTGTTTTATCATTCAACATTCACAACAACACTATATGGTAGACAGGCACTGTTATTATTCCTGATTTTCACATAAATTAATTAAGTAACTTTCCCAAGGTCATGTAGCTCTTTAGATGGGAGACCTGGGATTTAAACTGATGTCTCTCTGAACTCAACCATAAAAGTAGCTGAATGATGACATCAGGAAGGGCTATGGTAGTTGGTATTAAGGCTGACCTTGAAAGATGGAAAAGAATTAGACCAACAGAGATGAAGCGGAAAGGAAACATATTTTAGGAGAATAGAAGAGAGAATAAGGAGGCCTGGGCTTTGCCCATCTCTTGCAACTAACACAATGTAATGGAAGTGATGCTGTGACTTTCTAGGCTAAGACAAAAAAAAGCCATGCAGCTTCCATCTTCTGCTCTAGGAACTCTGGCTCTGAGGAAGCTGGGTGTCATGTAAGTACTCTGACACCACCATGCAGCAGAGGTTACATATGAAGTATGTCCAGAAAAAGATCAACCACTGTTAATATAATGAGAATGGTTTGCTCGATATTGATGTAACCTGGCAGCTGAGGAGAGTAGGCTGGAATGTGCATGCATGAACAATGATGACTTCATTGTACTAATCAGCAGGGGCAGTAGATGCCATTGAGTGAGCATGTGTACTGTGTGGCCTTCACATTCAAAATGACTGAGTGAGTAGAGCAACAAATCTCTATCAAATTTTGCATTAAGCTTGGACATTCTTCCACAGAAACTATTTGGATAATTCAGAAGACCACAGCTATGGACAACTGGTGATTGGCAGCTTCATCATGACAACACCCTCACTCATGCTTCACATCTTCTGTAGAGTTCTTTTTGTGAAACATCAAATCACCCAGGTGACTCAACACTACAGCCCAGATCTGGCAACCTGTGACTTCTGGCATTCCGGGAAACTAAAATTGCTTGTGAAAGGAAGAGATTTCAGACTGTCAATGAGACTCAAGAAAATATGATGGGGCAGCTGATGGCATGGCAATTGGGAGAACCGTGTGAGGTCCCAAAGTGCCTACTTTAAAAGGGACTGAGGCATCATTGTCCTATGTACAATGTTTCTTTTATTTGGCATCATTTTCAATAAATGTCTCTATTTTTCATGCTACATGGCTGGACACCTTCTGCACAGACCTTGTATAGGCAGTCCAGTCAACAGCTCAAGCTGTGCTTCCAGCCAACAGCTAGCAACAACTGTTAGACATGCAGACAAGCCAACCTGGACATCCCAAAGTTGGTTACTTTAGATGACTAGTGTTCAAGCCTACACCTGACTGAAATCATATGAGATGCTCAAGTGAAAACTACCTCGTTGATCTCTCCTGAATTCCTGACCTTCTAAATCATGAGCTCAGTAAAATCTGCTGTTATTTTATATGACTAAGTTTTGGAGTAGTCTGTACATGGAAATAGTCCATGAAATAGTCAGCTAATGAATAGAAAAATATTATACCCTGTGCCATGTAACTTTTCCATTAGAGATATAGAGATAGCAGATAAATGATTAATTCTATTTTTAAAATTGGGAAGGTTTTCAGTGAGAAAATGCCAGCTGGGTTTGGGATTTCACTGGTCAGAAAATGCAAATTTAACAGTATAAAGGAGTGTAGGATTAGTAAATCTGATTATTTAAATAGCTGAGTATCAGATTAAAAAACAGAACTCCCGCTTACTTGGTTTACAGAGTGATTACCTGCCATCAATTAAGGTATGAAATGTGTGAAGTGAGGCCTTTGGAAGAAGATATGTTCCTTGTTTTGAATATATTGTGTTTCTTTGTTAACAAGATACCCAAAAAGGCAATGTCTCACTCAGCTGGAAACACAGGTGAAGTGCAGATTACATGCAAGTGTTGCAGAAGGAAAGCAATCTGTAGTCTTGTTTGTAAATGGAAACTGTTACTATAACCAGCAACATGATGTTCCCAAATCTTGTTCACTTTGTTCACACAGATTGACTTGACTTAGTTTCATAAACTAGATGAAAGCAAAATAAACCAGAAAGTTAAAAACTTTTTTTAATACATGCATTTAAAAAATACTGAAGTCATGGATTACAATATTTTACTTCCATGTTTCAAATCCAATCTCATATAATTTGTCCTTATTGATAGCTACATTATTATATGTTGGTGATAATAGCAATTTTTCTGAATTTTGATTAGCTATTACCAGATGTTTAAAAATCAAGAACATGCAGACCATTATCAAAATAGCTACACAAGATAAATTTAAATAATTAACTAGATAAAATTATTCATTTTAAGAAAAAATGTTCAGTTTCAATAAACCAAGGATTTTAAAAGTTAAAGACCTGAATATATATAACCACAAAAAAATAAATAGAAAATAGTATTTGACTTTTCTTCAAATATTAGCATAAAACAGATCAAATGTACATATAACAATAGTGTTTCCTTCTACAATTTTAAAAAGGTCTACGAAACAGACAAAAGATTGAAATAATGGATGATGTTGTAAGAGGAAATAGGCATTGGAGATCTTCTCTGGTACAAACACAAATGTTTTGAACTCCAAACAAACTATTTTAAGGAAATAGTAGTAATGAATATTATCTTTGATTTGGCCATTATTTCTTACTTGTTGCTCTGAAGAGTCGACTTTAATATCAGTTTATTATTATTGACATTAAGATATTAACAAAAATGTTTCTGTTACAGCATCTTAGCTTGATGTCGATGTCAAGTCCAGGTAGATTAAAAAAACAAAAACAAAACCCGATGCTGAGGTTGGAAGGTTTAAAAGATCCTAACAAGATCATCAGGCAATTCAGGTTCCTGGCTGTGTAAAGAACCAAACTCAAAATTTTCAACTTCCCTTACCCACCCAGCTCTACTGAAGTGCTTGGAAATATGTCAGAAAATGACTTTCTTACCTCTTTTGTAGATATAAGATGCCTACTAATTTGAGATATTTTTAGTGAACATGATAAATAAAATCAAAGTATCAACTTTTTGGATTTTTCTCCTTATGGAAAGAATAATTTTTAAAAAACCATATAGAAAAGTTTATTCATAAGTTTAATGGTACCTGGTAATTTCCCAGAGTAGGATTATTAATATACATCACATCACACATTAAAAATATTGAAATTATTATATAACACCTGTATTGTTTTTTTAAGTGATGCCGTATTTCCTGAAGTGATTTGATTTTTAGGAATTGCATACATTTTTAATCATTAATATGTGAATGTTCTACCAATACTTGTCATTGTTCATGTTCATTTGGGTATAATTTTGACATTAAGAGATATTTTAGAAAAAGTATTTTATGACATTTTTATATCTTTTCAAACCTCCAAAATATAAATTTTATATATATAAATACACAGAAAAACATTCTCCAATTGCCTAAATAGTCTAAAATACTGTTTGGACTTCACATGAGGGAAAAAATATATATTGGTGTTTCATTGAATACTAAATTTGGATATTTCTGAAAAGATGTAAGGTTTAGTTTTACTCAGGACATTGTCCATTAACTTTGTAATTAAGCATGACTTGGTCAGAGCCATCTTTAACTTTGTCCTAATTTAATCATTCTCTATCCTGTGGGCTAAGGAACTTGGCACATATATTTCTTAAATTTTAAAATATTTTCTTCTAAATATTTGTTTACAAATCCCTAATGTAAACATTAACCATTCATTACAATCAATAAGCCAATAATGATGCAACATTGTTAACCACAGTGCACAATTTACATTAGGGT